CCCCCCCCCCCCCCCCCCCGGCCTTTCGCTAAAATCGATCCCTATCTTGCTACATGTACATTTTGATTTGCACCATAGCTTATCGAATTTACATGCCTTTCACATCTCAAAGATTTAATCCAATCATTATAACACTTTCACGTCATCAATCTTTCAAGACAGGTGTACATATAACTTAATCCAATTGTTCCTGTGTGAGTGCAGTATTTCTTAATTATTTGTTGAGTTTTGAATGAAATTATTGCATATGCATAATCATCACTCGAAGATCTCCTTATACTTGCTGAATTATTTTGGTTTTTGAATAACTAAATAAATATTAGTAAAATAGAGCTTCAACATTTGTTGGTTTTGGGTCTGATTGGAGTAAAAACTATAGGTGTCATGTTTCTATTTTCGCGGAGATGTAACAATAAATGGTTAGTCCTCCGTGCATGAGCGATGTGAGTGTACATATCTAAGCTATTCAAGAAGATGAAGTGCTGTGGAGACTACACGATCCTTCCCACGTGCCATTCACGGAGAGTTTAGATTTTTTGCACTATTACAGCGACAACTACACTTGGCATTTGGAAAGAGACATTTGAAATGTCATTGGCCTGATTTTGTTTGTAGACCCTTAAAATGAACCATAAACAAAATACACTACTAAAAATCAGTTTTTCACCGATGGATCCGTTGATAAAAGTAATAGACTTTCAACTACAGTAATTAGAAACGGTACCTAATGTAGTCGTCTAATACTTATATCTTTCAACTACTTGCATGTACTCCCTGATTCAAATCCAAAAGATTTCTAAATCTTATGTATTTGATTTTGCTCACTTCTAGTATATTAGATAAATGGGATGTGCCTCTCAATAAATTCCTACTTTTTACAAATATCAATGAACCCAATTCATTTTGAAATGATGTAGTGCTACTCTATTTCGCTGTCTGGCATTATATTCAGTGCATTGTTTATGATTGATTTTGATGATATGACAAAAGTCACGTTTGATTATATTGGAATGTGATGTGCTGTGATTGTAGGTGGCATTCTGCTGGTACCTTTGATGTGCAAAGCAAGACAGGAGGTCCTTTTGGGACCATGAGGTTCAAGGCTGAGCAGGGACATGAAGCAAATAATGGTATTGACATTGCTATTAAGCTCTTGGAGCCCATCAGGGAGCACTTCCCTACTATTACTTATGCTGACTTCCATCAGGTGTTTTTTCCTTTTTTATACATTATAATATATGAGATTTGTATTGTGGCATTTGAATTGTTTAATAGATAATTTGAATGTTTTATGTTCTTTACTTGTACGTAGTTGGCTGGAGTTGTTGCTGTTGAAGTTACTGGAGGACCAGAGATCCCTTTCCATCCAGGAAGGCTGGTTAGTGAAGTTGCTTTTAGACGTACATCGATATATCCTTAGATCTGTACGTGCATGTTTGGCCAAAAAATAAAAATAAAAATAAAAACAAAATTGCTCTTTTTTAAGCTTGAGTCCTACAAATTGTTATGGATTTTGGTTCACACAATTTGTATGAGACCCTAGCTTATAAAAGAGCAACTTTTTTGCCAAACATGCTCTTTATCATCTGGAGCTAATACATAACGAACTTTCGAGGATTTTTATACTTGCTTCGAGGGTTTGATGGCTATCATGTAGTTACATGAATGACAAATTTCTGTTGAAGTTTATCATTGAAATTCTGGTAACTTTTGGCTTTTAATTCAAACGTAGCATTTGGCAACGAATTTCTCCATTTTTACTTGATATAGAAAGTTCTGTCCTGTGGAATCTGCCATTGATGCTTTCTAACCTACTTCCTTCTAGAAAGTATGTAATTAGTTTCAAACCTTGCCTAGGAATTCTGTACCATTTCTATCTTGTACACGTAGATATGCCTAGAAAGACTCTTTAGTTGAACTGGCATTCTTGTATTACATATGAAGATAAAAGATTTATACATGTTTATTTAATAAATGCATCTTTAGATTAGCATATGTTCATGATTTCTCTTCTCTAATATCAGGATAAGGAGGAGCCCCCTGTTGAAGGTCGTTTGCCTGATGCTACAAAGGGTAAGTCAAATTACTGAACATTCAAGTGTCCTCAGGCTTAAAAACGGCAAGTCTCACGCTAATCTGAATTTCCTATTTTAGGATCGGACCACTTAAGGGATGTATTTGTCAAACAAATGGGCCTAAGCGACAAGGATATTGTTGCACTCTCTGGTGCCCACACCCTGGTATGTACTTGCTATCGTTGAAAAGACTTTTAGGGCCTGTTTGGTTTGTGTTTCATTTTTGAGTTTTCAATTTGTTACCAAAATGCATTTTTAGAAATACCAAACCATACGCATTTTTTGCAAAATTGAAAACTGAAACACAACTTGAAACAGCAAACCAAATGCACTCTTAACATTCTCTTGCCAGTAATTTAGTTAATATGATGTAATTCTACAGGGAAGATGCCACAAGGAACGTTCTGGATTTGAGGGACCCTGGACAGCAAATCCCCTCATATTTGATAATTCTTACTTCAAGTAAGACCTTATTCATGTTTCATATTCATATTTCTGGTTGGTTGTAGCATTTCACAATACACTACACACAGAAACATTTTGGTAATGCTGTGTACCTGTATATTCACATCCCTGCTTCTCTTTTACTTCTTGTCAGGGAGCTTCTTGGCGGTGAAAGAGAAGGGCTTATGCAGTTGGCAACAGATAAGGCTCTACTATCTGATCCCGTCTTCCGCCCTCTTGTCGAGAAATATGCAGCGGTTTGTTGATCTGTCTGTATTGCATTAGTCTTCCACACTTGTATATGCTGTTGTCTTTGCTCATATTTTGCTGTTCCATGACAGGACGAGGATGCCTTCTTTGCAGATTACGCTGAGGCTCATCTAAAACTTTCTGAATTGGGGTAAGGAGTTTCCACAGCTGTTACAGTTCTTGTATTAGAAGGTTTCATTTGTTCATACCCTGCCTGCCTTTTGCAGTTTTGCTGATGCCTAAGAAAAACTGGAATGGTGGCCTATAATTTGATGGAACCGTTGGATTATGAATTTGGTAGTTGCAATCAATGGTCATCAACTCCCTCAGAAATAAACAATGAAATCCTTTCCTTCATTCATTATTAATATTTCCAACACTTTTATTTCCTTGAAAGGCGTAAATTTGTGTTGCATTGACTGTTTAAATGAAGCTGTTAGAACCATTGAATTCGAAATATGGCAAAGTAGTTGTGAGATTTCTCCAGGATGTTTCCCAGTGCCGATCATTTGATTTGAAATAAAGTAAATTATATAGGAAAAGATGAAGTAGCTATCTAATTGTAAGGTCCATTTCATTCCAATTCTTACTATCCCATTTGAACAAGCAAGTATAAAAAGAATAGCACAAATTGAAAAATGCATCACATGAAAGAATTTGTATATGTAGTAGACTGGATGTGACATATTCTGAAAAACTAATAGATCTCAAGTTGAAAGTCGTCTTGCTAAGAACTGAAGAAGTCCTAGAAGAGGAGAGGGTTCATGTCAAGTATAATATTGCCCCTGTTTGGTTTAGACAAAAGTTAGATTTTATGGAATGTGTGGCTAAAAAGTTACGTGTTCCATAAAATGTGTAGTTAAAATTAATTGTTGATTTTGACTTAAATTTTAATCAATTATTTTAGTTGAACCAAACAGAGCATATGATCATCTCTAATATCACGATTCAAAATTGTAATATTCTATTTGCTACTTTAGTATTCCATGAATTTATTTGCAAACGTAAATATATAAGAACTCAACTGAATTTCCTTGCTTGTTTGATTTCAGTGCGGCCAAAAGGAAGGGTACCTTTGTGATACTGATTCTCACTAACGTTATGAGAACTATAAGAATCTTTGGTCTTCAAATTATATGTGGTTGATAATTGATTTGTGGTAACAAAAATGTATTGTTTAGGGTACTTCGTACCGTAACCCGAGTATCGTATATTCTTTTGAGAGCTTAAATTCTTGAAGAAAAACACTTGAATCCAAGATTAAAAGTGAATACCAAATTTTGTGGTTATTTTTATAAATCTTTTCATACGAAAATCAAAGAATTGGGAAATATTCTTCAAACACCTCAAGTCCTAGAAGTGCCATTATATATATAGTCAAAAGTAAAATAATTTAAATGCTCTAGAATGAAATTCAGATGTTGATTGTTATTAATCATTCGATACAGGGGTGTCAAATAAGTCGAGCGGCTAGTCGACTCGTTACGGCTGATCCATGGACCACTCAAGCTCTTTTGAAGATGAGCCTAGGCCCGAGCAAAGCGGGCGTTTAAAATGATGAGCCTAGCTCTCGTGGCGAGTGGACTTGCCTAAAAAGTGATCAAACAATTACATTTTTTTTATATACCTGCAGATGGTTTAAGTTCCAGACTCTAGTATAGCTAGTTCTTCAACGGCAGCATTTTTGTTTTCATTTTCTGCTCTTTCTGACTTTCTCACACATACAAATTCAAATGTTTATACAAATACATATCCATTCCCACATATTAGCATAAATATTGATTAATGTATATATCCAAATACATATCCCACCTATGAGCATACATATTAAGTTTTGTGCTTTCTTTAATTGTTATATGATTTTAGTTCAGTTGGGTTGCTGTAAGTTTTGAAAAGTTTCGAACTAGTGTGAAGGTAGGGAAAAGTCTCTCTGTGTTCATCAATTTGATTTTTTCTTTTACAAAAATTGACACGCGCGCGCGCGCACACACTCTCTCTCTCTCTGTTCATCAATTTTGATTTTTTCTTTTACAAAAATTGACTCGTTGAACCTGTGAAAACTGGAACTGTTTCACCAGTTTACAGTTAAACCGGCGGGTTAACAAGATTTTACACCAATTTTTTTATTCGGATTCTACCACCGGTCCAATTTGATTTTTAAAACATTGATAAATACTCCTCATTAAAATACATTTTTCACACCAATTCTTACAATCTATCTTTTACATTTTACAATCTAATTATTCACTCTCAAATATCAATTCATTATTCAATCATCAATCTATTTAATTCATCTATTACATTTCTCATTCTTCATATTTTCTCACTTTATCTCAATTTTATAATCTATCCATAATATTCCGTTATCTAAACTACTATAATTCTATTTTGTCTTTATACATTCCCATTTTATTTTATACAAATGGATCACAGCTCTTATGTTGAGGGCTTGTTCAGTGGTAATTCACCTGTAACGCTAATGAATTTTTCGGTCTCAACGATATCCCCTTTCTTGACTATTTGGGCGTTGATGATGTTCACGGGAATAATCATCCAATTGATTTGGATAATATTGATGAAAAAGTGGAACTAGAACTCGGAATACCGGATGCGAGAGGGAAGTGAAACTCTAAAAAGACTCTAAAGTGTTGAGAACATTTTAAATTGATTTCAACGGATTGTACAGTGAATGGAGTCCAAGAATGTAAAGTAGTTTATAAATATTACAAAACAAGATTGGCATAGCAAAAGGAAATTGGGACTACTCACGAGTTGGTAGTGATGCACTTCACAATGGCCAAATGGACTTGTTGGTCAAACACAAACACAACTTCACTTCGGTACTCCTTCTCCCAATACTAATTCTTCTACATTAAGCATGTGGATCCATTTGGAAGAAAATTGTCGTAAAGGAATGGTAAAGTTTATTGTAGGTGCTAATTATCGGTATGTAGACACACTATTTGTTCCGATTGCATCGAATATTACGTTAGGCAAAAGAAACAAATGATATACATGATTTACATGGTGGTTTTATATTATTTACATCAAATATATGGGAAAGCATTAATAAAAAAATTTATATAGCTGCACTGCACACTATATAGACTCACTTTGAATTATACATAAAAGAATAATTGTTTTTAAAATAATTGAGTGTCCTCACCATGCTAACAACTTATTTAATGCTATTATGAAAATTATAAGAGAAAATTACTGTAAATCTAAACTTCGTAATTTTACGTTTGATAATGCAAGTGTTAATAAGCCTGTTATTGATAAACTATGTAGGTTCTTTAATTTAGTGCCTGTTTGTCAACCATTATTGAGAAGAAAATGGTGTAATGAATAGTATTTTTTGGAAAACGTGTGGTTGAAATTGAAAGAAACTTTATCGGTTTATGTGTATATCTGTCAGCATGTGTATAGAAGCAAGATATCCAGAAGTCCCCGAAAGGAGAAGGACACTACTGTAAATTAAAATCAAGATATTAAGTGCCTGTTTGTCAACCATTATTGAGAAGAAAATGGTGTAATGAATAGTATTTTTTGGAAAACGTGTGGTTGAAATTGAAAGAAACTTTATCGGTTTATGTGTAGAATATTTTATTATTTGAATATGTGGTAGAGATTGATTACTGTAAAAAACAATTTTTTGAAAAATGGTAGACAAACGGGGGCTTAATTGTGCAAGACGATGTGAAGCATATTAGTGAGCAAATGGGTAGAATTAGGGATGCATTTGTATACATACTATATGTCCAAAATAGAAAATAAGCATTCAAAGAATATTTTGCTCAATTTGGTATGGAATCCAAAAAATTTGTAATCGACGTAGGGTATAGGTGGAACTCTACTTACTTATTACTCAAATCATGTGAGGGATATGAAGCATTCCCTATTGAATGTTTTATTACTAGACTTATAAGAAATGATGAGGAGTCTATTTTGACTGATACTGATTGAGAATTAGCTTTTAAAGTTAAGAGCATGTTTGACAGGGTTGAAAATCCAATTAAAATTAAAAATATAGCCGTTATTGGGTCCCACTCGTCTAATAAAAGTCAACAATAATGTCTAATTTTTCAATTTTAATCCGATTTTAATCTCTACCGAACACGCCCTAAATTTTTTTCGACAAGTTTCCGTGATCATAGAAATATCTTGTCTATACTATCCCACCATTTCTAAAGTTTCTGAATATTCTTTTATTATTGCAAGATCTTTCAATATATATATAAACGATCTTGATTTTACTGAAATATTATTTTCTATAGATGTAAAGTTTATGAAGTATGGAAAGACATACCTATGTTATTTCCTTTAGCATACGTAATGGACCCTAGATACAATTTGAAAGATACTAAACATATTATTAGAAAAACCACAAATACTTTAAGTTTTGATGCTCATATCACTTATTCTAATTTAGATAACACTTTAACTTCAACGTACAAAATGTATGCACAACAATTGGAAGCAAATGTTAGTTGGGCACCCTCCACACCCCCTGATGCTAACCTTGAAGAAGATGATGAGGAAATATTGAATTTATTTACTGAATTTAGGGATGGAAGATTTGATTTAGGTTCTTCTAGTATGCTCATGCGTATAATCAAAGTACATTGGACGCAAGTCCAGCAAAATCCCTACAAAATTAAATAGATATTTCAATCATCAAATGCTTAGGACCGTAGATCCAGCTAGTGTAATGACTTTTGATTTACTTGATTTTTGGAGACGCTACGAATGCACATATTCTATTTTTTTTTTGTGATTGCACATGATCTACTAATACCTCCGATTAGCATTATAGTACTAGAGTCTGCTTTTAGTGAAGGTGGTTGATAAGCGTATTTTCTACGCTTATTTGGGGTTTGAAACTATAGAATTTTATTATTCTTTTGGCAAAATACAACCTAAATGTGTTATATTGCATCTTGTAGGTAAAATTCAATGTATAATTTAGAATTGGAGAAAAGAAGCAAAATGTGTGAAAAAATGGAAAAATTCAAAGTAAGGGGATCAAAGTCTACACTATAGAAGTTGAAGGACTAAATTGCATTAATTTGAAAGATTAGATGAGTTGGAGAAATACAAAACTAATTGGGCCTTTGGAATTCTAATGGACCAAACCATT